CACACACACACACACACACACACACACACATAGTCACACACAAACACAAACACACACACACACACACACACACACGCACACGCGGAGCCGGAAATTAGAACATTCTGAAGCACGCACACAAACAGGCATTTACCGCTCAATCAAAGCCAGTTCATAACTATTAAAAGCTAGTTCATCACTAATCGAAACTAGTTGGGACCAGTCTTGGGGGGGGGGAGTGGGGGGTTAGTGGGTGAGGGGGGAGGGGGGAAGGGGGACGGAGGTTGAAATACCTGGGGAAAATAACGTATATTTTTTCCCCTCCCCCCCCCCCCCCCCGTTCAGAATTGGGTCTTTGTCCTTAATGAAAGGTCGACGGGGGGGGGAGTAGGATCTGGGTGGGGGCGGGGGAGGGGGGGGGGCAAGGGTTTATGGGTGTGGAGGAAAAAGAGGAGGAGGAAGAGGGGGAGGAGGGAGAGGAGGAAGAGGAGGAGGAGGGAGAGGAGGAAGAGGGGGAGGAGGGAAAGGAGGAAGAGGAGGAGGAGGGAGAGGAGGAAGAGGGGGAGGAAGGAGAGGAAGAGGAGGAGGAGGGAGAGGAGGAAGAGGGGGAGGAGGGAGAGGAGGAGGAAGAGGAGGGAGAGGAGGAAGAGGGGGAGGAGGGAGAGGAAGAGTAGGAGGAGGAGGAAGAGGAGGAGGAAGGAGAGGAGCAGGAGGAGGGAGAGGAGGAGGAGAAGGAAGGAGAGGAAGAGTAGGAGGAGGAGAAAGAGGAGGGAGAGGAGGAAGAGGAAGAAGAGGAGGAAGGGGAGGAGGATGAGAAAGAAGAGGAAGAAGAAGCAGAACAGGAGAGGAGAGGGAGAAATGGAAGAGGAAGAAGAAGAAGAAGAAGGATAAGAAGAAGAAGAAAAATAAGAAAAAGAGGAGGAAAACGAGGAAGAGGAGGAGGTATAGGAAAATGAAAAGGAAGAGGAGAAGAGGAGGAGGAAAAGGAAGAGGAAGAGGAAGAGGAGAAAGAGGAGGAAGAGGAGGCGGTTAAGGAGGAGGAAGAGGAGGAGGTGGAGAAGGAGGAAGAGGAGCAGGAGGAGAAGGAACAGGACGACAAAGAGGAGAAAGAGCGAAAATAATAACAAAAAACAAACAAACAGACGAAGGGGAAGAAGAAAAAAAGAAAAGAAATAATAAAAGGGAGAGAAATAAGACCAGGTGAGGAGAAAGAGGGAGAGGGGAGAGGAGAAAGAGGGACAGGGAGAGGAAAGGTGTGGGGGGGAGGAGAAGGAGGGCGAGGGAGGGAGAGGTAGGGGGGGAGGAGAAAGAGGGGACAGGGGAGAGGGAGGTGGGGGGAGGAGAAAGAGGGACAGAGAGAGGAAAGGTGGGGAGGAGGAGAAAGACGGAGAGGGGAGAGGGAGGTAGGGGGGGAAGGGGAAGCAGGGAGAGGGGAGAGGGGAGAGGGAGGGTGCAGAGGCGGAAAAGGAGTGGCTTGAATGCAGAAATGCGTTACCAATACCTCTCTATTAAGGTCGCAACTCGTCTCCCTGTGACAGCAAAGTCGCTTGATTGCATCTGTCGTGTCGCCA